GATCGAGGAGGATTATTATTGAAAAAAGTGTCTTAACAACCCGAAGGTTATTAATTAGGTTCTCATGTAAGAGATTCGAAACCTGGCAAGTACCAATGTGACTTTTTCCGAGTTATATGTACTTTCTATGATTATTTAGACACCACTGACATACGGTGAAGGTAAACATCGTGAGGAAACTAGGGGTCGCAATACCGAATCATTAAAGCAAAACCGGTATTTTCGGTATTGGCTGCAGAACAATACCGATAATCCGGTATTTTCGATATTTCCGGGATTAAGCTAAAGTAAGCAAATTTAGTATTATAAAGTTAGTTTCCGGACGAAAAGTAAGTAGCATGTACAACCTAAATGAATTCATCTTCTAAATAAAAAATAATTTCATTAAGAAAATTCCTCAGAATCCTAAATTACCGCATAAAACCTGGCCGGTCATGTTTAAGTTATCCAGATAGACTGCTAAAATTTAATGTTCAGCCATTAGAAACAAGGCGCATATTTTTCGACTTGGTTTATCTTTATAAAATTACCCACTTTATTATAGATTCCCCTGAATTACTCTCACACATAAGTTTAGTGCCCGTAGATCAAACGAAATTAATCTCTTCGCTCTACAAATTTACAAAAACAATATATATCTTTCTATAACCCTTTGACCAGGATGGCTCGCCAATATAATGAAATGGCAAAGAGCAATCACAAACTTTTTGACATATTTAATTACAGCATTAATAAATTCATCTCAGATATAAAAGGTATTCTCCATTGTCGATTTGGTGTGGATTCTTCAGGCCCGGGAAACTGTGCCTAAGGGATCTTAATCAACCCATATTTTTGTTGAGAGGCACCAGTGTTGACACACGTCACTTTATGTTTTCTAGTTTCTGCTTGTTTCATTTTGCCTCTTTTTGAGCTTTTTTAATATTTAAAACTTGTGGTTTTGCAGTATGCACATATTGTTACGTTACTATCTAGATCAAACCTTTAGTTTTTAAGCTAATAATATTTGATTGTAATGTGTTTTGTGCATGAAATATATAAATAAAAAAAATAAAAATAAATAAATTGACACAAGGTTTATTATTTGATATGTTGGTAATCAATTAATCATTCAGTTAGTTCTTAGCAATAATTTGCTAATACTAAATGCCCTTTTATTCCTTTATTAAAATAACTTAGGTTAACTAGTTCAAATACTTTAATTAAATGTAATGTAATGTTTGACTAGGAAGTAGGAATCATTTCTAAAAATAAAATGTCTATCAAACTTAAACATCTCACAACAGTCTCAACATAAACAAAAAAACCAAAAAAATACACTTCTAATAAAACAAAAACAAACATAAAAAAAATCATAAAACGTAAAATTAAATTTTTGATGGTTTACTAATCATCAAATAATATTCTAATTAACAAAATAATAAAAATGCTTAAATTAAATTCAGTCCAAATCAAATTGAGTTATATAGAGGTACCTAATCAATATATTATTATATTAAATTTTTGGTTGAGCCTTGTAATGGCGTAATTTGAATTAAAAGGCGTGTAACTTTTTCTATTTGTATTTGTTTTTTATTTATTTTACTAAAACCGAAAATACCGAATATCCCGGTTTTTGTGAAATGAATACCGGTATTAATTAGACCTAAATTTGGCCCGGTATTCCGGTATTTTCGAAATTCGGTATCCCGGTTTGCGACCCCTAGAGGAAACCTGGACTTTTATCTATTGTAAGGTTCCTACTATTAATTACGTTATACAATACAAAAATCGACTATTTCAATAATCGATTTTTGTATCGATCTTTTGAAATAATAAAAATGAGCGGGAACGAGTGAACGAGTGAGGTGAGGGTTGTCTGTGGAACCGGGACGAGAGGGCGGGAAAAAAAAAAGGTAGTGGATGGATATACGGTTTGGCGGGAAGAGATAAGGGAGATTAGTCTTGTAACCTGAACATTAAAGGATTATTTTGTATTATACGACGAGTTTTATTACACTATACTAACATTACCTATAAAGAGGTAAAATATTTTTTTTCAATTTAATACTGGACATATTTAGTATCAGCATTGCAACCAAGCGAAGCCAGGTCGCTAATCTATACTAATATTATAAAGAGATAAAATTTGTAAGTTTGTATGTAGGGGGTAATCTTTGGAACCGCTGGTCGGATTGCCAAAATTCTTTCACTGATAGATAGCTACAATGTTCCTGAGTGCTATAGGCTATAAAACATCACGTTACGATTAAATAGAGGCGAGCAGCGGGCGAAACCGCGCGACAGTAGCTAGTGTTTTCTATTATTATAAGTTTAAAATCGCTAATCCGTCTTGAGCAAGCGTGGTGATTGATGCTCATTCCTCTTGCATGAGAGAAAAGGCATTCACTCAGCCGTGGTCACTCATCTATACTAATATTATAAAGATGAAGGGTTTATTTGTTTGTTTGAACGCGCTAATCTCTGGAAGTTCTGGTTCGAATTGAATTATTCTTTTTGCGTTCGATAGTCCACTTATAGAGGAAGGCTATGAACTATAAAACATCGCGCAATGGTCTGTAGTCGGAGTGAGAGAAACTGGGACGCCGTCTCCTCCTTTTGTGAAGCAGTCATGTTCGCAAAGAGAGAGGCGGCCCGCGTGAGGGAGCAATCCTCCTCCTCACGCCCCAGCAGCCGCAACTGGCGACACTACGGGCGTCGGGGATCAAGGGACGATCTCCGGCCACCGTAAGCACGGGCCTGCGGTCGGCGAGTAAGGGCAGCTCGCCGCCCGACCAGAACCAGACCCGAGCGTACGGCGCGTAGCGTTCCGCGCGCCTCAAAGAGCCATTAGACCACCACAGACGGGGCCCTAAAGGGCTGATGTTCAGCCGGGGTTGCGGGGTAAGCGCAATGAGGCACCGCGACCTCGGCCCAGAGCAGGAGAAGGAACAGGGGGGTTTTTAGTCAGTAAGAGTCTGACACTCCCTCCCGCCCGGCCCTGGGCGGGAGAAGAAATTTGATCCCCTCACAAAAAAAAAACGGTCTTTAGTAGCCGCGTCTGCAGAGGGTCTGTTTCATTCGCTATAAAAAAATGGATCGCAAAATGTGTTGGTAAGCGCATAACTCAACAACGCCTGGACCAATTTTGCTAATTCTTTTTTGTTGTGTTTGTTATTGTCAGGAGAAGGTTTTTATCAAAAATGAAAACATTAGAAAAGTAGTGGGGAAGTTTGGGAAAAAGTGACCCTTTGATAGCGAGATAGTTGGACCCGTGCGAAGCGGGGGCGGGCCGCTAGTCTTATTATAAAAACTGTCGATAATGTTTATTTATGTCGCTGAAAACAAAATATATGTTACCTGTATCAATTATGCTTGCCAACCCATCCATCACAAGACCCAAACGTGTTGTGCAAACTTTTAAAATGATATATCATCGAACTTAGTTCAAACAAAAACAAAATTTAGATTTTTTAATACAGTGTGGGAGAGCCATGCTTCGGCACGAATGGGTCGGCTCGACTGGAGTGATACCATGACTGCACGGTCGGTGGCGGTGGCTGGGCAACTGGCTGCCGTGCAACGTGTCGAGGGTTCGATTCCCGCACGGAATAACTCTTTGTGTGATCCACAAACTGTTGTTCCGGGTCTGGGTGTCTTGTGTATGTGAAATTGTATGTTTGTAACAGCACCCACGACATAGGAGAAAATCCTAACGTTTTTTATTTAAAAAAAAGAAAAGGAACATAAACCTCACTCACACGGCGAATCACAACGCTGTATTGTGATTCGCCGTGTGAGTGAGGTTACGAGACGCCCAATGAAACAATGAATTTTTTTTTTTGCAAATAGGCCATAAAACAGTACTTTAACACGCCAAAATTATATGTAAAAAACTAGATGAAGCCAGCATTTCCTATCTGACTACTCTGAGAAGAAATGCCGAAACAAACTCAGAGGTCTGTCACTTTTCAAGTCCGGACAATGTAAAAATATAATGCTTCCCTTTCATCAGTCCCTTCTCACTTGCAAAATCTCCAAGCCCCCAAAGTACTTGTAACTCCACCGTTAGGGTGTCCATGTTGCTTTCCATCAGGTTATGTGTATGCTCGTTTATCGCCCAATCACATAAAATGTAATATGCTGCTAGCTGTGACTGCCTAGCACCAGCATAAGTGTGGGTCTGAGGACGAAAAGTAAGGGTAGTTCATCACACATCGGGCCCAATGGTGTTCAGCCGGAGTTGCGGGCTAGGCGCAATAATGTGTCGCGGCTTTCAGAATCAGGAGGAAAAACGGGATGGTTTTTAGTCAGTAAGAATCTGACACTCCCTCTCGCCTCACCCTGAGGACCACCCTCGAGAGAAGACCCAATGGTAATTTCCCCCCTTAAAATTTTTTTAACCCGGCCCAGGTCTTTTTTTGTGAGGGGATAATCTTCAAATGGCTTCCCCTAGGGTGAGGCGAGAGGAAGGGTCATTCTTAGACTCTTACTGACTAAAAACCCCCGTTATTTCTCCCGCTTTGGTCCGAGATCGCGGTGCCTCATTGCGCTTACCCCGCAACCCCGGCTGAACGTCAGCCCTATAGGGCCCAGTCTGTAACCGTCTATTGGATCTTTGAGGCGCGCGTAAAAAATCCATAAGGAAGGAACAACCTCTGTATAATTTAGCTACATGCTGTCCCTCTCCCACCCTCTGTCTCACTCTATCTACCGACAGTTCGAGTGGTGGTCTATTGGCTCTTTGAAGCGCGCGTAACGCTACGCGCCGTACGCTCGGGTCTGGTTCTGGTCGGGCGGCGAGCTGCCCTTACTCGCCGTCCGCAGCTTACGGTGGCCGGAGACCGTCACTTGATTCCTGACACCCAAAGTTTCTCCTACTGTGGTCGGTCGGGCGTGAGGAGGATAGTTCCTTCACGAGCTCCACCTCCTACTTTGCAAGCATAAGTACTTCGCAGAAACTTCTTCTGAACTTCAGAATAATATACAACAATATTTTTTATATATAATTTATTTGCTAATTATAATACGATTTCTCCACTAAGTAGAGTGTCCATCACAGCGCCGGGGATTGAGAATAATGAGGTGAAAAATCTCCTATTTGGGGAATTCGTGGCACTGTTCGGTGTTGGTGGAGTCTCCGGATTTGGGGATGACTTCCTCCTGGTTGGAGATGGACTTCTGACTTCTTCTTCAGTCTTTTCGTCTTTTGATTTCGTTCTAGGTTCTGGTTCAGGTTGTCGCTGTTTCACGGCTGGTGGAGATTCTTTCGCATCGTCTTCGCTTTCAGTGTATATGTTTTCTGAAAAATAAAATAAAAGGCTAGTTTATTTATATGTCTCTTAAATATACTTACATTTAAAAATATATAAATTAGTGGATAACTTGATGAAGAAACAAAATCCAAGCTTTCGGTGGTTGGGTCTGCGGACGGCGAGTAAGTCTAACTCGCCGCCCGACCAGAACCAGACCACCAATAGACCACCACAGACGGGGCCCTATAGGGCTGATGTTCGGCCAGGGTTGCAGGATAAGCGCAATGAATCACCGCGACCTCGGCCCAGAGCAGGAGAAGGAACAGGGGGGTTTTTAGTCAGTAAGCGTCTGACACTCTCTCCCGCCTTACCCTGGGCGGGAGAAGTCATTTGCCTTGACAAAAAAAGCTACCTATATAGAGAGCTACCTATATATAAAGAGAAAAACTTCGACAAGATCCAGGCAATGCACTTGGAGTAACCCATTTGGTACTACGAGTGTCCATGGGCGGCGCTGATTGCTTACCATCAGTCTCCAGCCTTATCGTTTACCGCTGTTTACCATAAAGACAATTCCTTGGATCATGAAGCAACAATTAACCACTATAGTGTTTATAATTATGTTTTACTAGCTTTTGCCAGCGACTTTGTTCGCGTGTAATAGTGACTTCCTGCAGATTTTTGCCCTTTCTCGAGTTCCAAACTATGTCTGTACCAAATTTCACACAAATAGGTTCAGTAGTTTAGGCGTGAAGAAAAGACAGACAGACAGAGTTACTTTGGCATTTATAATATTATATTAGTTTGGATATAAAATTTGTACCGTAGGAAAAATCAGATCTTCTGGTGATGACTGGACTCCTTGGTTGAGCACCAGGGTAAGCTGCATATGACACGGTCGGTGACGCCGGGTAGAAAAATGGACATGGTACTGAACAGTAGGCGTTCACAGCCTCCGATCCCTTGAGAACGCCTGGAAAAGGAAACCAGAAAAATATCTGACTTAGAACCACATTGCCTTTAGTATTTAACTGTATAGAAAGTGTTTCAGAGCCATGCTTCGGCACGAATGGGTCGGCTCGACCGGAGTGATACCACGGCCTCACAGAAAACCGGCGTGAAACAACCACAGCGTTTTGTTTTTCCGTGTGAATGAGATTACCGGAGACCCAATTCTTCCTCTCCCCTATTCCCACCCAATCTCTAAATCTCTAAATCCCCAATCGCCAAAAGGTCGGTGACGCACTCGTGGCTCCTTTCGCGGCGCCGTTGCTTACTATCAGGTAATCCGTCAGCCCGTTAACCACCCTATGCCGTAAAAAAAATTGATTGATTACTATCCCAATTTGCTGGTCCTCATCTAACAGCACCCTGTCTCTTCACGCGGGTGTCCCGTGTCTACATATTTGACAGAGATGAGAGAGTAGCAATCACCGCTCTTTTTCATAGATCTTTGTTTTCAAAGAGGAAATCAGATAATGTTCCCTCCAGTGCTTAGTAGGGAGGAACTCCTTAGGTAATGGGGAGGTGAGGGAGTGTCAGAGTAGCCGGGGTTGCGGGGTAAGCGCAATGAGGCACCGCCACGCGCCACCTCGGCCCAGAGCAGGACAAGGAACAGGGGGGTTTTTAGTCAGTAAGAGTCTGACACTTTCTGGGCGGGAGAAGTCATTGGATGAGTTTCCACTGACAAAAAAAGAGAGTGTCAGAGTGGTCGTGGTTTCCCGAAGGTTAAAGCACCTCAAGTTTCTTATGAAAAAGAGCACCCTTGGGTTCAAAACCTGGCAAATTCAAAACCAATGTGACTTTTTCCGAGTTATATGTACCTACTTTCTTTCTATGATTATTTAGACACCACTGACATACGGTGAACGAAAACATCGTAAGGAAACCTGGACTTGTAATTTCTAATTATAAGTTTGAAATCGCCAATCCGGCTTGAGCAAGCGTTGCAATTAATGCTTAAACCTTCTCCGTGTGAGAAGAGGCCTTTGCTCAGCAGTGGACACTTATAGGCTGATGATGATGATGAGTTTTGTTAATGATGTATATTAAAAATAGACTTACCTATAAATAATAAAAATATAATTAAACTAATATTGTACATTTTAACATCCTTTCTCAATACCTTTTCCTTAAAAATAAACCTAGATTCTTTATATAAGGACGATTTATATTAATTTAATTTCAATCGATTAAATGAAAGTGAAAAACACTGAATTTCTTAGTCAATAAAGTTTAGAATGGCAAAGCGTAAAAGTTTAAATATTTTATAATCCCTCGATACGTTTGGTGGCCAATTAAAAATCAATTTTAAATATTTTTATAATGTGTTTAAACGTAATCAGTAAGTGATTCAGTGATGATTCATGATTTTTCCTTCAATGGAATAAGCCCATAACCTCCCAAAACCGCTGCAACTCCTGTATACCAGGAACTACAGTAGATACAACCATGAAAACACTGGAACACTGAAGTCCGGCGCGTCCCAGGGACATGAATGACTGTCTTGGATCCCGCAACGAAATAAATCAGAAGATATTATTTGAGGAGAAGAAAAAACTTAATAGTTTCCACTACCCTCGGTTAATTTAATGTAGGAAACAGAATTATTTAAGCTTTAAAGGCACAGAAGAGACTGTACAACTGGGAGAAGCCCAGTCACCAAACACCACGGAATATTTTGTATTGACTACTGTAATGGGTCCTATGTGTGAGCTGTTATAGTTGTTTCCAGTAATAGGTATGGTAAAAACGCCTAAACGCACGGAATTGCGTCAAAAATCCACAAGATCCATACGATGAACTAAATCTTATTTTTTTTTTTTTCTTAAAAAAGCGTGCACCACTAGTATTTTCTCCTGTGTCGTGGGTGCGCTTACAAACATACAATTTCACATGACACCCAGACCTCGAACAACAATTTGTGGATCACACAAAGAGTTGAAACGTGCGGGAATCGATACCGCGACACGTTGCGCGGCAGCCAGTTGCCCAGCCACCGCACCAACCGTGCAGTCAAACCCCTGATGGGACATTTAAATTTATGTAATACTAGCTACTCTCGCGCGGTTTCACCCGCTGCTCGGCTCCATTTAATCGTAGCGTGATGTTTTATAGCCTATAGCACTCAGGACCATTGTAGCTATCTATATAGTGAAAGAATTTTGGAAATCCGACCAGCGGTTCCAAAGATTACCCCCTACATACAAACTTACAAATATACAATCTTACGAACTTACAAACTTTCAAACTTACAAACATACAAACTTACATATTTTACCTCTTTATAATATTAGTACCGATAACGACCACAGAGTATAATAATAATATGATTCATGACCCGATTCTGGTCCTCAAATAAAACAATTTTTTGCATTAGACTAATATGGATATCTCAAAAAATACGTCTCTATGTAAAATGATCAATCAACTGAGCTGTTGCGTTTTGCATATATAAGGAAATAAATTAATTTTTTAGATTTGGATGGTGGTCCCATTGAAAAAGTTATTACCTATAATTTAGCACTAAAATCAGCTCCTTTAATATGTACGTAATAAGTCGGCAAACGAGCAGACGGATTACCTGATGGTAAGCAATCAGCGCTGCCCATGGACGCAACGGAGGAGTTACGAGTGCGTTTCCGACCTTTAAGGGATTAGGGGTTTGGAGATTAAGGGATTGGGAAGGGATCGGGGGAAGGGAAAGATTGGCCCAAACTTTCCCTTCCCCCGATCCCTTCCCAAATCCGGTACTTTGATTTAAATAGATAACTGAATTAAAAGTCAAAAAAGTCAAAAAGTCAAAAATCATTTATTCCAATTAGACCTTTACAGGCACTTTTGAACGTCAAACAAAATATAAAATAAAAAAATAGTGTCAGTCTGTCGGTCAGTCCTCTTAGTGAAGCTATTTGCTCGTTCCAAAGTGTAGATTCCGATGGAGAAGAACGAGCAAGAAACTCCATGGTTACTCTTTTTAAATCAGTTTCACATACAGATTCCTTTTACAAACAGTTGGTTCAATTATGTGAGAACAGTGTAACACTAATATTTATTCAAATATAAAAATAAAGTAACCTTAAGGACAATAGACAGTCTGGAGCTGACCAGTCCCAACTGACGGCGCTCGTTCACGAGCATGACACGTACACCAGCATCGCCCAACTCAACCATATTATAGGGAATTAAGCGATCCAGTGCCCATGCCACCGCCAGTGTGACCTTTCAGTGAGCATGACAACTCCAAGCTGTTATAAGGACCGACATTCTGCTAGTCTAACCAATTATAATAGGTTACAGGGCACTCACATTTACAAATTTATCAAGTTATAGTTATACAATATAATGCAATTTCACTAAAATGAAGAAGTCCCGTTCAAGCAAGCAATTTAATCCATTGGAACGTTATTTATTTTGGTGTACGTTTGCTATCCTGTGGAGCAGGACCAGCATGTCTCCAAGCATCTTTATCTACAATGTAATCATTCAGTGTGTAGTATGCTTTTCTACATAAAGTTTTCTTTACACATAATTTAAAATTTCTTTCATTTAATTGTTGTATTTCGCCTGGGATTTTGTTATAACATTTAACACAGAATCCCATGAACGACTTATGTACCTTTGCCAATCTAAATAATGGCTGACATAATCTATCTCTATGTCTAGTTTGATAATTATGTCTATCTGACACCTTATCGAATATTTTTAAGTTTTTCCTAACATACATAATGTTTTCATAAATAAACTGACATGGCACGGTCATAATATTGATCTCTCTAAACTTTTCTCTAAGAGACTCACGACGCCTTAGATTGTAAATAGCTCTGATGGCACGCTTTTGCAAGACAAAGATAGACTCAATGTCAGCAGCCTGTCCCCACAACAAGATGCCATACGACATAATGCTATGAAAGTAGCTGAAGTACACCAGTCTTGCAGTGTCCACATCTGTTAGCTGTCGGATCTTCCAGACAGCAAATGCTGCAGAGCTCAACCGTCCTGCCAGAGATGTGATATGGGGCCCCCATTGTAGTTTGTCATCTATGGTTATACCCAGAAAAGTAGTTTGTTTTACAAATTCCAATTTATTACCGTTTAATAATATGTCACATTCGGTACTTTTAACATTTGGCAAACTGAATCGTATACATTTAGTCTTTTTGTCGTTTAGGACTAAATTATTAATTGTAAACCAATTATGAACCTTCGTTATAGCATTATTTACGTCGTCATAATTATCTGTCCGTCTATTTATTTTAAAAATCAACGATGTGTCATCAGCAAATAATACCATTCCCGGTTCACGTTGAAATAAATGAGGTAAATCATTTATGTACACTAAAAACAGGAAAGGACCTAATATTGAGCCCTGTGGTACGCCCACAGATATGCTAGTACCCTGGGAGTTCACTTTATTTACTTGTACTTTGAACTGCCTACCTGCCTACTTTGAATTATCTTACCATTTCTATTACATACACCAGACCTACGGACAATCTATCATAGTTATGTACTAGGTTATGCCCGCGACTTCGTTCGCGTGGAACATTGGCTTCCCAAAAACTATCCTATGTTCTTTCTCGAGTTCCAAACTATGTCTGTACCAAATTTAACAGAAATCGGTTCAGTAGCTTAGGCGTGAGGCAACTTAACCAGGTACTTTGGCATTTATAATATTAGTTTGGATAGTCATCATCATCATCATCAGCCTATAAGAGGCCACTGCTGAGCAAAAGCCTCTTCTCACACGGAGAGGGCTAGAGCATTAATCACCACGCTTGTTCAATGCGGGTTGGCGATTTCAGTCGTCCTCACGATGTTTACCTTCACCGTATGTCAGTGGTGTCTAAATAATCATAGAAAGTACATATAACTCGGAAAAAGTCACATTGGTACTTGCCAGGTTTTGAACCCACAACCTCATGCATGAGAAGCGGGCTCCTTAACCTCCTGGCCACCACAGTTTGGATAGTAACTAACTGTAATCATACTTATTTGCCCATTAATAAAACAAAAAAAAAATATTGATCAATATTTTTATTTCTACTCACACTAACAAATAAAAAGCAATATGAAAAAAATAAAACTATTCAAAATTTAGACCCCGTCACGGACTGTGATGTGACTAATGAACCCTAATTTAATCCATATAGACCCCATTTTATGCCTAAAGTAAGCTATTACATCTTTAATAATTGGCTAATAAATTGAAGATCGAACGCTCTGGTGAAATCACAGTAGGAGACGTTATAGGTTAACTTTTTTACCATAACATGTCTATAAGGGGTCTCGTGCCATATGACCCCTAGACCCCAAATAGTCCTAATTATTTAAATACAAATGTGGACAGCAGTTCAGTGTCGGTAATATTCTGGGTATAAAACTGTATCGGAACGTCAACTGTCTTTTGTCCGTGTCGATTCCGAGCCCAAAGCCAGCTGTCACTGATCGTATGAGGAAACCTGAAACAAATAAGCCATTTAGAACATGCAACAAAAAAAATGCTCCCACATTATATCCCATCTATAGCAGCTATGCTTCGGCACGAAAAGGTCGGTTTTTTTTCTGAGGCGAAAGTAGCTCGACCAGAACAAGACCCGAGTAAAGAGCCAATAGACCATCACAGACGGGGCCCTGATGTTCAGCCGGGGTTGCGGGGTAAGCGCAATGAGGCACCGCGACCTCGGCCGAGAGCAGGAGAAGGAATGGGCGTGTTATTAGTCAGTAATAGTCTGACACTCTCACATCTTGGGTGGGAAAAGTCATATGATGAAGACAAAAAAGGGTGAAGCAAAAGGGAGTGTCAAATTCTTCCTGACTGAAAACTAGCCTATCTTTCTCCTGCGGTGCCTTATTGCACTCGCCCCTCAACCCTGGCTGAATATCGGTCCATTTGGGTTGTTGTAGTGGTCTATTGGATCGCTGCACGCTCATGTCTGGCTGCGAATCCTTGCTCGCCATCCGCAGAACCACAATTACGGTGTCCGGAGATCGTCACTCGATCCCCGACGACCTGAATGTCTCGTGAATGGGCTGGCCAACGGAGTGCCCAACTGCTTGTTATGTTTCGCCATATGAGTGAGGTTCAATCCTGGCAGATCCGTTGCTTTTTCCGACCCCCTTTTATTTGTGAGGGAAAATCATCAAATGACTTCTCTCGCCCAGGGTCGGGCGGGAGGGAGTGTCAGACTCTTACTGACTAAAAACCCCCCTGTTCCTACTCCGGTTTCAGGCCGAGGTCGCGGTGTCTCATTGCGCTTACCCCGCAACCCCGGAGGTCCCCATTGTTGTTATTGCCATCCGATGATCAGTCTGTCGTGGGTGTCGTCACATTAGACAGAGACTGGACACCAGCTCTCTCTGATAAACCTGAATCTTTTAAACTGCGATCGTCAACCCGCCTGTCTGCGGAGATTTTTTATTTATTTATGTAATAGGTCGGCAAACGAGCCGACGGATTACCTGATGGTAAGCAATCAGCGCCGCCCATGGACACCCGCAACGGAGGAGTTACGAGTGCGTTGCCGACCTTTCAGGGATTAGGGATTTGGAGATTTGGGGATTGAAGAGGAATTGGGGAAGGGGAAGGATTGGGCCTCCGGTAACCTCACTCACACGGCGAAAAACAACGCTGTGGTTGTTTCACGCCGGTTTTCTGTGAGGCCATATTGTCACTCCGGTCGAGCCGACCCATTCGTGCCGAAGCATGGCTCTCCCACACTTAAAATTGGAGATTGTGGCAAACCCCTCTTATGTAGAGGAGGCACATACTCCAATACAGATTAGTTGAATAATATTAAAATGACTTATACATACCAATGAAAGCGAATAGTAAGAAATTCATTGTGTGTTGAAAATAACTGAAGAAATGTATATGTACAATGTTTTCATACTTTTAAATTCCTGTGTCCATTAAAACTTAACATTATTATTAAAATATAAACTCTAAAGTGTAGTTGTTACAGTTCAAAACACTTTGAAACGATATCCACGCTTCATTTGTAATTAAAAACTATTTAATCTCAATTATTTTTTGATTAAAGAGTCGATTAAAATGTTCGGAGCTAAGTTCGAGTTGATATTTAAAAAAAATATTACCTATATATCAAAAAGTTCGTAGTCCTAAATATGTATAAGACAGTCCACGTTACCATCAATTGACTGGTCAATCTCTACACTACATGAGTCACTGTTTACATGTCACCATTAGCTCATGACGATACCTAAGTACGTATCGCCTGGACAGTCCACGCTACCATCAGTTGACTGGACAATCTCTACACTACACGAGTCACTGTTTACATGTCACCTTTAACTCATGACGATACTATCAGTTGACTGGACACTCTCTACACTACACGAGTCACTGTTTAGATGTCACCATTAGCTCATGACGATACCTAAGTACGTATCGCCTGGACAGTCCACGCTACCATCAGTTGACTGGACAATCTCTACACTACACGAGTCACTGTTTACATGTCACCATTAGCTCATGACGATACCTAAGTACGTATCGCCTGGACAGTCCACGCTACCATCAGTTGACTGGACAATCTCTACACTACACGAGTCACTGTTTACATGTCACCATTAGCTCATGACGATACCTAAGTACGTATCGCCTGGACAGTCCACGCTACCATCAGTTGACTGGACAATCTCTACACTACACGAGTCACTGTTTACATGTCACCATTAGCTCATGACGATACCTAAGTACGTATCGCCTGGACAGTCCACGCTACCATCAATTGAGTGGTCCATTTCTATATTTATTAATTATCTTCTTTAATTTTCAGGTACGTTAACGAGATCATTTTGACTTCAATCCTGATTCCTTGGTAAGTAAATCAGATTAGTTTTAAATGTATAACATCATACATCATCATCAGCCTATAAGTGCCCACTGCTGAGCAAAGGCCTCTACTCACACGGAAAAGGTTTGAGCATTAACCACCACGCTTGCTCAATGCGGATTGGCGATTTAAAACTTATAATTAGAAATTACAAGTCCAGGTTTTCTGACGATGTTTTCCTTCACCGTGTTTTATTTGAAACATTTATATAGGTAAGTTTATTATAAGCTAAGCCCCGCAAAAACATTGAAAAGGATTGAGTATGGGGTCAACAATTCTCTAAACAATACAATACAATTAAGTGAAATTATAATAATTTTAAGCGCGTAGAACCAACGGCCGCTGGGGCAGAAAGGTTCTCGAGTGGAGGCCACGTACCGGCAAACGCAGCGTGGGACGTCCACCCGCAAGGTGGACAGACGACCTGATTAAGGTCGCAGGAAGCCGCTGGATGCAGGTCGCTTCCAACCGGCCTATCTGGAAGTCAATGGGGGAGGCCTATGTTCAGCAGTCGACGTCCTGTGGCTGATATGATGATGATGATGATAATAATAATTTTACTGCACGGTTAGCGCGGGTCCGTTTCTCGCACGGAACAACTCTTTGTGTGATCCACAAATTGTTGTTCCATGGGTCTGGGTGTGATGTGTATGTGAAATTGTATGTTTGTAAACGCACCCACGACACAGGAGAAAACCCTAGAGTTTGGCAACTTAAAAAAATACAAAATTAGTCTACAGACATCAGAAATGTCAGTGGTGTCTAAATAATCGTAGAAAGTACATATAACTCGGAAAAAGTCACATTGGTTCTTGCCAGGTTTGGAACGCACCTCATGCATGAGAAGCGGGACGCTTTAACCTTCGGGCCACCACAACATCTAGGTACATCATTACTCTTTAAAAGGTTCAGTTTTATCAGAGAGAGCTGCTGTCCGGTTTCTGTTTAATGTGGAGGTCCTCAGACGACTCCTTCAACATCCAAAGGAAATGCAACAGTTTTAAGACATTTTTTATGTGATAGAATGGCGAATTTGCTTACGTATTACCTGATGGTAAGCAATCAGCGCCGCCCAAGAAAGGAGGAGTTACGAATGGGTTGCCGATCTTTTGAGGATCAGGGTTTTGGGGATTTAAGGATTAGGGGAGGGGAAGAATTGGGCTTCCGGTAACCTCACTCACACACGGCGAATGGACATCCGCCACAAAGGAGGAGTTACGAGTCCGTTGTCGACCTTTTGAGGATCAGGGTTTTGGGGATTTAGGGATTGGGCCTCCGGTAACCTCACTCACATGGCGAAAAACAACGCTGTGATTGTTTCACGCCGGTTTTCTGTGAGGCCGTGGTATCGAGCCGTAGCAAGGGCACAGGCTGCTACACTTAAACAATTCTTAAAAAAATAGATTTATGTCATCATTTTACGATTACGTCACCAATCTTTAAATTAAGTGTGGGAGAACCATGCTTCGGCACGAATGGGTCGGCTCGACCGGAGTGATACCACGGCCTCACAGAAAACTGGCGTGAAATAACTACTGCGTTGTGTTTCGCCGTGTGAGTGAGGTTACCGGAGGCCCAATCCTTCCCCTCCCCCAATCCCTCCTCAATCCCTAAATCTCCAAATCCCTAATCCCTAAAAGGTCGGCAACGCTACGAGTGCGTTGCCGACCTTTGCGTCTAACTCCTCCGTTGCGAGTGTCCATGGGCGGCGCTGATTGCTTACCATCAGGTGATACGTTTGCTCGTTTGCCGACCTAGTACAATAAAAAAAAAACTAAACAAAATTTCATTAATGTTCTTCTAATCCAAAATATTTTCCTTAAATCATCATTCTCAGTGAACCATGCGAGATGATTTTTTAAATACATTTTTAATTAAATTTTAGGGTATATATTGAGAATTTTTCTTGGTTACAATCACAGACTGTCTTCTGCCTTAAAATGTCTGCCAAAGCAATCATATTAGCTGGTGAGTGGTCCAAGTTTATTAATATTTTTTATCTATATATAATATTGTAAAGAGGTAAAATTTGTAAGTTTGCATGTAGGGGGTAATCTTTGGAACCGCTGGTCGGATTGCCAAAATTTTTTCACTGATAGATAGCTACAATGTTCCTGTGTGCTATAGGCTATAAAACATCACGCTAAGATCAAATGGAGCCGAGCATCGGGTGAAACCGTGTGAGAGTAGCTAGTAACTTTTATTTGACTGCCTCAACAGTCAAAAAATGGTTAGCTGGGGTTGCGGATAAAATTAAAAAAATAAAAATATAATGATTTTCCACGCTTAAATATAAGACCATGTCACGCTTGCGTGAGCAGTTTTTAATCGTGTGTGCTCCGTCGTCGCAGAGTAACAAAACATTCAATTTTTAAATCTCTGCCGAATTATTCCATAATCGAGGTCAAGTCATTTCTTTCAAATAGACCATTATAATTATGTACTTTTGAACGTCAAACAAATAAAAAAATATGAAAAAGTTCAACTTTGTCAGTCAGTCTGTCCTATAGTGAAGCTATTTGCTCGTTCCAAAGTGTAGATTCCTATGGAGAAGAACGAGCAAGAAACTCCATGGTTACTCTTTTTCAATCAGTTTTACAATTCATTTATTTGTTACATTATATAGTATGTTACTTGTTCATAAACAGCTTGCGCGTCAGTAAATTCAGTAACTTTTTATTGTTACACTGTGCTAAGGCACAGGACTCCAGAATCCAAAGCTAGAAGTATTGACCGACTTTTTCACCGACGAGGGAGTAAAAAAACAAAATTGATTTTTGACGAATATCAACTTATAAAAACATTTATTTTCAACAGCATTCCTGTGCGTGGCCCGGTGCAACCCCTTGGGTTTGGGCAGCACCACCGTTTGCGAGTCCGGACCCAACTTCTTACCTGGACTGGGCGCGACAGTCTGTGAATCTGGACCTCTAGGGTTAGGTGGCCTCGGATATCTTGGCGGACTCGGAGGATTAGGGGGTATTGGCCTCGCAGGCTTAGGCCTCGGCGGATTAGGCTCAGCCACAGTTTGCGAGTCTGTACCAGCTTACGGCTGGGGTGGACTCGGATTGGGCGGACTTGGGCTTGGAGGAATCGGCCTTGGTGGCTTAGGAGCAACCACTGTCTGCGAATCTGCCCCTAACCTAGGATATGGCGGCCTTGGGTATGGGCTTGGTCCTTTAGGCGGTGCAACTGTGTGCGAATCTGTCGGACCTGGCTACGGTTTGGGGGGAATTGGCTTAGGCGGTTTAGGGCCTTACGGTCTTGGCCTCGGTGGCTTAGGGGGTCTCGGACTTGGCGGCCTAGGCACAACTGTCTGTGAATCAATCCCTAATGTTGGTCTCGGAGGTTTGGGATACTTAGGCGGTTTAGGAGGTCTGGGGCTAGGAGGCGCTACGACCGTTTGTGAGTCCGCACCAAACCTAGGTTGGGGTCTTGGCGGACTTGGGCTCGGTGGACTTGGTCCTCTTGGCCTTGGAGGCCTTGGCTTAGGAGGTTTAGGCAGTGCTACGGTCTGTGAATCTGTGCCTAACTATGGCGGATGGGGTCTTGCTGGATTAGGATATGGGGGTTTGGGAGGAGTAGGCGCCTTGCCTCTGGGACTTGGCCTCGGAGGCCTTGGTGGTTACCCCCTAGGCTTAGGTCTTGGCGGTTTAGCGGGAATCGGGGGCGCAACCACAGTTTGCGAGTCCAGTCCTAATTTGGGCCTAGGCCTTGGTTTAGGTTACCCCGGACTTGGGGTACTTGGCCGCCCTTTTTTATAAATAGTAACACCTCAGCGTCTCTTTATACTAGCAACACAGAAATAAACGGACCTTGCCCTATAGTTACGCGAAATACTTCAGGCACTTATAGAGACCAAACAACAAAAATGGCAATATGATTAAAAAAAAATAAGCATGATAAAAAATACTTCGGACGTGTGTATTCTACGGTCAGACTTGAAAAAATTTATACAAAAAAAAAAATACAATGATATCTTTTTCTGAACTTTAAATTTCTGACTTTTGATTAAAACCTAGGTTATTTATTTTTTGTAATTTTTTCTCTTGAATCTTTTTTCATAATATGTGTGTATTTTTTTCAAATTAAAATGATCTCATGTAAGTTTTATATAAGTAAGTAATAATTATGTAACAATTGGTTTTTGAAAAGTCTGTTTCGAAGAAATGCATAATGTCTGAAATGAAAAAAAATATGTATTTATTCAAAATTTTAAATCGATAAAATAAATTTTATGTTATTAATGTACTATTTATGAATGTATATGTATCTATGTTTTTGGCAAAATAAAATTTGTATGTATTTGATTTTGAGTTTTTGTTTTATACTCTGTTTCTTTAGTTATGGTTTAACTAGCATTAACTAGTTTATATATAACTAGCGGCCCGCCCCCGCTTCATACGGGTCCAACTATCCCGCTATCAAAGTGTCACTTTTTCTTTATCTTCCCCTCAACTTTTCAAATATTTTCTTAGATAAGAACCTTCTCCTGACAATAACAAACACAACAAAAAAAAAATTAGCAAAATTTGTCCAGGTGTTGTTGAGTTATGCGCTTACCAACACATTTTGCGATCCATTTTTATATATAAGAAGACTAGCGACCCGCCCCGGCTTCGCACGGCTGCAACGCTGATACTAAATGTCTCCACTATTTAATGGATGTTATTATACATATAAACCTTCCTCTTCAATCACTCTATCTATTAAAAAACCGCATCAAAATCCGTTGCGTAGTTTTAAAGATTTAAGCGTACATAGGGATATAGGGACAGAGACAAACATACGAGACTTTCGTAAAAATAAGAACCAATTCAAATAGAAAAATCAGCTGCCCTGGCTAAATTAAACACATTGAACATTTGCCCGTAAAAAACCTGTAATACAAAAAAACTAAACTGAAATCGGTTCATTCGTTTATGCCACATACAGACACGTCAAACTTATAATACCCCTCTTTTTGCGTCGGTGGTTAAAATTGTAGACAGGTACTCGAAATTCTAAAGGAAAAATAACACTTCAGCAAGGCCTTATAGATCAGCCAGGGTTGCTGATACAAGCGCACTAACGTACCGCAGAACCGGCCCAGAGCAGGAGAAGGAACGAGGGCAGTTTTTAGTCCGTAAGAGTCCGACACTCCCTCTGACCCTATCTAGGACGAGATAAGTAATTAAAATTTAAAAAACCACCGACAAAAAATCTAATATACCTTTAAAAAGTAATAATAAAAAAAAGCGTTGGGGGACCGATCCGAATTTATTTTTTTATTGTATACTTTTTATAGGTATTTTATATCATCTTCTCTCGATTCAGCCATCAACCTTCCTTATCAGTGCGCTTTCATTTGAGATACCACTCGAGTATATTTGCAGACCTTCGGTTACCCTTCCCCACTTACCCCCCCATAACTTCTAAACGGCTCAACCGATTTTCGTCAAACATGTCTAAGAACACTCGCACGTAAGTCACCTTTAATACAAAAGAAACTAAATTGAAATTGCATCACCCGTTCAGGCTCCAGGTTGCCATAGACAGACAGACAGACAGACACGTCAAACTTATAACTCCCCTGTTTATGCGTCGGGGGTTAAAAATAAACACAAACAATGCACAAATAACCCGTACTTTATTTCAAATGCACATTCCATTACAAATGTATATCATTATATTATATATTATATATACATATATATTAAATTGTTACATAGTCTAGCAGATGCATGGGGGTGGTGGACAGGGACATGAGCATGGACAGGGAGGAGGTGGAGGGCAAGGAGGAGGACACGGGGATGGACAGGGAGGCGGTGGGCAGGGTGGCGGGCAAGGTTGCGGGCAGGTGGGGATACAGCAAGGTGAACAAGGACAACAAGGTCCCACGCCATTCTGTCCATTAGCTAAACGGCAAACAGTTGCAGAGCCCAAAGTCCTGAAGTTCTGAGGAGGGTTTGGTCGGAAGCAAATGGTCGGGGGTGCTGGCACGACGATCTTCGGTGGTCTTACTACGAGCGCGTCTGGAACTGGTGGCTGGACGGCTGGTGGTTGCACCTGGAAAGTTAGGAGATGTTAGAGTCTTCTTAGGGCTGGTTTAAGCAACAAAAGACCATTTTGCTAGCTTATTTGACTTGAATAGATTTTTCTTGTTTGTGAATAATACAGGCCGATCTAAATAAAATCATACTTTAAATCAGTATGGTTCAAGATGCTTTGACAAATAGGTCAGCTTTTGGCCAATGAATATTCTTTGACCTATAGCTGGCCTATATTAATAGCCCCTTTTTTGATGAGGGAAAATCATGATATGACTTCTCTCGCCTAGAGTAAGGTCAGAGAGAGTGTCAGACTCTTACTGACTACAAACCCTCGCTCCTTCTCTTGCTTTAAGCCGAGGCCCTGGTACCATATTGCACTTGATCCGCAACCCCGGCTGAACATCAGCCCTATTTTAGTGCCCCGTGTGTGGTGGTCTATTGGCTCTTTGAGGCGCGCCGTACGCTCTGGTCTGGGTCTGTTCGGGCGGCGAGCTAACCTTGGTCCCCGACCGTAGACCATCGTTTACTGTGGCAACATTAACAGTCCCTGACAATCTACTACTGGAGTAAGTGCCTTCTCTACATAAGAGGGGTTTGCTACAATCTCCGCAGACAGGCGGGTTGGAGATCGCAGTTTAAAAGGTTCCATCAAAGACCGAGAGCTCCCATCAAAGACCGAGCATTGACCCTCAACCTTAGTAAAATACTTATAGAAATAGTGATATGACAGCTTACCCTCATTGGAGGTGGTCTTGGCACAGCTACTGGTGGAGGTCGGACGATCAATGGAGGAGGTTGTGGTGGATTCACCGGTGGTACCCTCACGTAGAATGGAGCTGGAGTCGGTGGCTGAACTGGGGGTGGGCGGACGGTGATGGGCTGTGGTGTCGGCGGCTGGACGGGGGCAGGTTTCACCCAGATTGCTGGAGGTTGGGGCAGCCTAATCTCTCCAGGGCGTACCACGATTGGGGGTGGTGTTGGGAATCGGATCTGTCCTGGCCTGATTAGGATTGAACCTGGGAAAAAATATGTTTGTTTTATTTTATTTCGCAAACAACGAATTACTCGAGTAAATTAAGTAAGCTGGTAAATAGCTCTAATACTTTCGAGTTACAACAGGACGACTTAAACAAGTAGAGCTTTTCTCAGTTAATGTCATGTTAGTAAATTGTTATTTTTAATACTAAAGTGTAGATTGAAATACAATTTTAATTGATCAGTTTTTATTTTGAGAATTTTAAACTTAGAACTTGGAATTTATCAAACTTTAAAAACATTTTAACATTTTCTAACAAGAAGAAAGGTATTGTCAGTAATCTTTCTGCTATTTGTAACTATAAGAGAAAGCTGGAGCCCAAGTATTATATAAGTAAAGTAAAGAACACGATTCTGTTGTAATTTTGCTTAAAGTATTCTGACAATTTATAATGACTAATCATTGAACGGTAATAGAATTATAGTACGAGCTGTCTCGTTACGAATTATAAACAATAACTGCACAATAATATTCTAATCGTCAATGACTAATTAAAGGAACTGTCAAAATTTTTGGTTGGTCATTGGAAGGCCATAATGGCGCCATCATATTAGTAGATTACCAATCTTATCAAACACTATTGTAATAGCAAAAGAATTAGGAAAGAATCAACTTACCAGTGGGTGCCTGACCGTATACATAATTCACGGGGGGCTCGCAAGGGTTGCAGGGCCCAATCTGTTGCGCTCCCTCACAGGGGACAGGCAGGCATGGTGAAGGCTCTGGAGGGGGACAGGGGCAGGGACAGGGAAACTGTGGCTCTGGCTGTGGGCACGGCTGTCCCAGAACAGTGGCCAGGAATAGAACTGGAATAAAAGAGATTATTAATAGGTGATGATGTGAAGAAGAACGCAAGAGAAAGAGTCAAAGTCAATGTCAAAATCATTCATTCCAACTAAACCATAAACAGGTACTTTTTAAACGTCAAAATAGAAGTAGTCTGTCAGTCTGTTCGTGAGTGAAGCTAGGTGCTCGTTCCAAATTGTAGATTCGAATGGAGGAAAACGGCCAAGAAACTCCACCGTCACTTTTGAAAAAAATAATATTTATTTTACAATTTCACTAATATAACATTTAGTTTACACACAAGACACATTGTATTTATTGAAGATAATGACTTATTCTCGAAAAATGCTCATTAACATAAGTTTTTAAATCACAATGGGACTTAATAAATAAGAGTCCCGTTGTGACTTGTAACTAGTCGAGCTTTTCTCAGTTAATTTCACGTGAGCACGTCGTTATTTTCAATATATTATGTCTCTCGATAGCTACTAGATAAAACAGTATTTTTTCCTTCTAAGATAGAATTAAAAACTATGTTTTTTTATGTTGTCAATAACTGTCTTTATCAATGTTGGCAAAGCATTCGTACTGGTCTAAAGGTAATAAAAAAATAATATGGATATTTACCCGATAACCATATGACTGTGCCCTTCGCCATTTTTCGATCGTCTGATGAAAATTTGGAAGGAACTCCAGCTTTTATACCATAAGAAAGCCGCCATCTTAAAATTATTGATACAATTCAAAGACAACCTTATAGCGATTCGTTTTAAATTCAATTTAATGAAACGCTTAAAATAAAAAATGCTATTGTATTTTTACAGTCAAATAATTGTTTTTAAATGGTCAACGAAATATTTTTTAAATTTAGAATTATTTAGTTTTGGAACACTGCTAACTGTAACGGTTTTTGAATTTGAATTTCATAATCGTAATGTTTTTTTTTTGTATTTTTAAATTTTAAATTCGTAACGGCTTTTCATGTACTGTATGTTCATTGTTACATAAAATAACGATATTTTTTTTTACGGCATGACCAAACATTTATAAGTAGATTTTGTTACTATTTTTTTATGACGTAGGGCACCAAGCTGGCAGACAGATCGCTTGATGATACCACAGGAGTTTTATGAGCGATATCGTCCTAAGCAAAAGCCTCTTCTCAAATGGATAAGGTTTTAGCATTAATCAACATGCTTGTTCAATTCGGGTTGACAACTAGAAGTAGAAATTATAAGTTCAGGTTTCTTCACGATGGCCACCGTATTGCGAGTAAGGGTAGCTCTCCGCCCGACCAGAACCAGATCCGAGCGTACGGCGCGTAGCGTTCCGCGATTGCCTCAAAGAGCGAATAGACCACCACCGTCTAAAGGGCCCTATAGAGCTGATGTTCAGCCGGGGTTGCGGGGTTAGCGCAATCAGGCACCGCGACCTCGGTTCAGAGCAGGAGGAGGAACGGGGGTCTTTTAATCAGTAAGAGTCTGACACTCCCTCCCGCCTGGCCCTGGGCGGGAAAAGTCATTTGATGATTTTCCCCTCACAATAAATATTACATATTTTTTGAATTTTATGAAACCCCAATTGAGTTTTTGGATTTCTCTAAAGCATTCGACTACTTTGAATTGTTGAGTCGTGGGTAACAAATAATGATAATCACTTAGAAAGCGTATTTAAGTGTCAAATACAGTAAACTTTTTTTTTTATCATAACAAAAAGAAAATTACTTTAATAAAGTGAAGTTACTTTTTTATTGATAAAGGGATGCCACAAGGTTTTATATTAGGCCCTTCCCTTTTTTACTATTTGGTTGTCATTCGACACACAGGTTTGCTTTCTTACTTTCATTCTTATAATATAGAACTGTTGACCTAACTGTAATAAAGCGAACTTGATCCCCTGCCTCTTATATCTCTGCATTACCTCAAACGTCTACTAAGTATCTAAGGCCACAATTCCGTTTACATACATTTTCTTTTACATTTAGCTTAAGAAGTAGATAAGCAAGCATCATCTGAACACTTGAAACACCCGAGGAGCAACAAGTAAGTTGTCAGCGTTTAAGGGTTTATGAGGACTGGGGATGGGTAGAGAATAGGATTTGATGTAAAATTACTTATTCATTAATATTTCCTCATCCAACCTTGTATAGCTCTGCTACTACTACAGTTACAGAAGGTCCAGTCGAGGGGAGACTCCATCTCTTCTCTCAGTCGCCAAAAACCTAATACGCCAATACTAAAATCCTTAACCAACAAAAGGGTGACCAGGGGCAGCGCCGACTAGGACGACACAGGAGCAGAAGGATTACCTGATGGTAAGCAATCAGCGCCGCCCATGGACACCCGCAACAAGAGTGGATTTATGAGTGCGTTGCCAACATTTTTGGGATTAGGAAATTGGAGATTTATGGATTGGGGGAGGGGTGGTATTGGGCCTCCGGTAACCTCACTCACACGGCGAAACACAACGCTGTGATTGTTGCACGCTGGTTTTCTGTGAGGCCGGCCCATTCCTGCTAAAGCATGACTTTGTCATTTATGCCATAAAACTGACACACCACGCGTAAACCACGTTTACTTTTGAGATGCAGCAGTATTCGAGTTTCTTAAGGATGCACAGGAAGAGCGAAAAAAATGGAGAGTGTGGTTTGTGTGGAGTATTATATCTCATATATCTCCTACATCATGGCGGGATTAAAGCTAGATGCTTTTCCTACAATATTTCTGCTATGATTGGCATGGATTTCAGGCAGTAAAGGCATTTCGTTATATACAAGTTGTTCTTCGAACCGTTGCCTCACAATTGTATTTTCTACTGTGTCGTGGATGCATTTACATTCATCATTTACAAAAATACATATCACACTTAATGGGACTGACGTGAACTGTGTTCAAAAGTCCCATAAAATAAAGAATAAAAAAAAAAAAAAAAAAACATATCACACTTAATATGGGTGGGAGAACCAAGCTTCGGCACGAATGATATAAAGAAATACAAGATATTACTTCACTTTCCATTGAGCATACAATTGAATTGTCCTGTGTGGAGCTGGATAGGCATGTTGTAATATGCGTTTATAGACCTCCTAACTTACAGAACTTAAACATTTTTAACTCAGTCATGGAACAAGTTTTGCAGAAAGCGTGTTCAAACAGTAAATTCACAATAATATGTGGCGATTTTAATATTGATCTCTTAGAAAACAATTCTAATTGTGTTAATTTGGTAAGTCTTTTTAAATCTTTTGATTTGTCTAATGTTTTCCTTGAGCCCACCCGAGTAACATCCACCTCGGCTACATGCATAGATAATATATTTTGTAACTGTAATTATTTACATAAGGATATAATAAATACCTTACCATCAGACCACAGTGGGTTAACAATGAACCTTAACAACATCACAAAGGGGCCAAAAAAGGAAATAATGTTTAGGCAAATCACAAATAAAAAAGGGTTGAGTTACTAAATAACAATTTGAAACATAAATTATGCAGCCCATCACATGATTATGAAGGTCCAAGTGAGATTTATGACAATCTACTGTCCGTGATTAAAACCCAGTTTGATAAAATATTCCCCTTAAAAAGAAAAACTATTGAGTGTAAATTTGTATTCTGTGACTGGGCTACCCCAGGTATTTGTAGAAGTAGGGAAAGGTTATTTGAGCTATATGGTATGAAACCATTTGATACTAGTGAAGCCTTCAGCAAGCATGTGTCCAAATATGCAAAAATATTTAAAACAGTCTGTAAGCAAGCTAAATCACTTTATATTGGCAATAAGATTAAAAATGCTGAAAATAAAACAAAAGCTACGTGGAAGGTAATTAATAACGAGACAGGCAGAAATAAATTGCATAACACGGAATTAAATTTAAATACGGATAATGGACGAGTTAATGCTAATCAAGAAGTTGCCCAAGAATTCGAATTTTTTTTTCAAGAATATCCCCATTAAAACTACGAAAGACTTTCTATTAGTCTTCTTAAAAGAAATGTTAAAGAATGCCGTTCTGGCTTCCGATTTCAGTACACGGACCCGCAATCAGTAATAAAGGCGTTTAAAGACATAAAAGTTAAGTCTACAGAGGATCTATGGGGAATGTCTGTTGCGGTGTGTAGGTCTTTTATAGAAGCTATAGCGCCTTATTTAGCTTTAATTTTTAATAAAAGTGTAGATCAGGGCGTTTTTCCAAATTTGACGAAACTTAGCAAGGTAGTTCCGTTGTTTAAATCTGGCGATGACAATGATCCCAATAATTATAGGCCGGTATCAATTTTACCAGTGCTTAGTAAGGTGTTTGAAAAGCTAATGCTTTCTCAGATGCTACGACACTTTAACATAAATTCCATCTTTCATGACCAACAATATGGGTTTACCAAGGGTCGACGCACAACTGACGCCGGTGTAGCTCTACTTAAGCATGTTTTTGCCTCATGGGAAAAGTCAAGCGACGCTATTGGAATTTTTGTGACCTGTCTAAAGCTTTCGATTGCGTTGAACACGCGACACTGTTGCTGAAGTTGGAACACTATGGCATTCGAGGGGTATCTCTCAATTTATTAAAATCATACCTGCAGGATAGGCAGTTCAAAGTACAAGTAAATAAAGTGAACTCCCAGGGTACTAGCATATCTATGGGCGTACCACAGGGCTCGATATTAGGTCCTTTCCTGTTTTTAGTGTACATAAATGATTTACCTCTTTTTTTTTTTTTTTTTTATTGATTATAGGTTCGCGCTTGACCGCTATCTCACCTGATGGAAAGCGACGATGCGGTCGACGATGGAGCGCGCTTACCTAGAAGTAACCTATTCACTCTTGACTTAAAGATACCCAGATTGTAGCTATCAGGAAACACCGACTCCGGCAAGGAATTCCACTCCTTGGCTGTACGCATGATGAATGTGCTCCCAAAACGTTTTGTACGTATATGTGGGACATCCACCATGTACCGGTGGCGCAATGCCGTACGTCTGGTGGTCCGATGATGGAACGGGCTAGGCGGAATTAAATTATGTAATTCCAACGCACATTCCCCGAAATGCAACCGGTAGAAAACCGACAGGCTAGCAACTCGGCGTCGATGCTCAAGACTTTGAAGTCTCGACTCGACAAGTGCATCATCGCCAATGATCCTCTTTGCTCGCCTCTCAATAGACTCAAGCGCATCAAGTTGGTATCGGGCAGATCCGTCCCAAAGATGAGAGCAGTACTCCATAACCGATCGAACTTGCGCCTGATAAAGTTTAAGCAGCTGTTCCGGCGTAAAGTATTGTCTAACCCTTGCGAGGATTCCCAACTTTTTTGCAGCCAGTTGAGCTTTTGCTTCGATGTATGGCCCAAAATTGAGAGTAGATGTCAGCGTTATACCAAGAAGATCAAGATGGTCAGTTATCGGCACGGATACACCCCGGAAAGTTGGAGCAGGGCTAAATTGACTCCTTTTGCTGGAAAATAGACACGCCTGAGTTTTAGCTGCATTGAACCTGACCATATTGGCGTCGCCCCATTTAGAGACAGCCTCCAAGGACAAGTTCAAGCGCCCAACCATAGCCTCTCGAAGAGTCTGGATCTGTGACCCACTAGCTCGTGCGCCGGACGTGTAACTCTCAACAACAGTGCTGTCGTCTGCATACCCAAAGGTACCGGGCTTAAGCAGGTCGTTTATGTGCAACAAGAACAATGTTGCCGAGAGCACTGACCCCTGAGGGACCCCAGCATTGATGGTCATTTGATTCGACGAGCAACCATCGATGACCACACGGATGGACCGGTCCCTCAGAAAGTCTGCGATCCAAACACACAATCCAGTGGGCAAACCGAACGAAGGAAGCTTACTAATAAGGCTTTCGTGCCATACCCTATCGAAAGCCTTCGAGATGTCAAGGGAGACGGCAAGCGCTTCCCCGTGTTTCTCGATGGCCTCACTCCAGATGTGGATGGCATACGCTAGAAGATCACCTGTGGACCGATTCCGGCGAAATCCGTATTGTCGGTCACTTAAGATGTCATTGGCTTCTAGGTATGCCAGGAGTTTTGTGTTCAGCACACGTTCCATTGTCTTACAGAGAATGGACGTTACTGAAATGGGCCTGTAGTTAGCTGGGTCAGCCCGACTACCCTTTTTGGGCACGGGCTGTACGTTAGCTTGCTTCCATGCATTCGGAACTTTTCCAGCCTCAAATGAAAGCCTAAATAGGCGCGTCAGGATTGGAGTCAATTCTGGCGCACACGTTTTCAGCACGATTGCCGGTATCCCATCAGGACCGCTAGCCTTGTTCACGTCTAGGTTACGTAGCACCCTACGGACGTCCTTCTGATGGATGCGAATGTCTGACATACTCGTCTCACAACCATCAGGATAAGCAGGGGGCCGCGCGTCACCGGGATCTAGACGCGAAGATTCCGCGAAGAGGGAGGCAAACAGATTTGCTTTCTCCTCAGCGGTGTGGGCCAGCGAACCGTCGGGCCTCAGCAATGGCGGTAGTGAGGGGCGGCAGAAGTTCGATTCAACCGACTTAGCCAAGGACCAAAACGCTTTGCTACCAGCGGGGTATGAAGCAAGTTTGTTCCCGATGCGGCTGATGTGGTCGAATCGAGACCTCCGCATTGCCTTCTTGCAAGACTTGGCAGCACTGTTGAAGGCTCTCTTCTTCTGACTCACGTCACTCGCCTTACGCATGCCAGCGTCGGCCCAGGCCCGGTATGCTTCGTGTTTAAGCGCATTAGCGCGATCACATTCACCTCATTTATTTCAACGTGAACCGGGAATGGTATTATTTGCTGATGACACATCGTTGATTTTTAAAATAAATAGACGGACAGATAATTATGACGACGTAAATAATGCTATTACGAAGGTTCATAATTGGTTTACAATTAATAATTTAGTCCTAAACGACAAAAAGACAAAGTGTATACGATTCAGTTTGCCAAATGTTAAAAGTAACGAATGTGACATATTATTAAACGGTAATAAATTGGAATATGTAAAACAAAATACTTTTCTGGGTATAACCATAGATGACAAACTAAAATGGGGACCCCATATCACATCTCTGGTAGGACGGTTGAGCTCTGCAGCATTTGCTGTCTGGAAGATCCGACAGCTAACAGATGTGGACACTGCAAGACTGGTGTACTTCAGCTACTTTCATAGCATTATGTCGTATGGCATCTTGTTGTGGAGACAGGCTGCTGACATTGAGTCTATCTTTGTCTTGCAAAAGCGTGCCATCAGAGCTATTTACAACCTAAAGCGTCGTGAGTCTCTTAGAGAAAAGTTTAGAGAGATCAATATTATGACCGTGCCATGTCAGTTTATTTATGAAAACATTATGTATGTTAGGAAAAACTTAAAAATATTCGATAAGGTGTCAGATAGACATAATTATCAAACTAGACATAGAGATAGATTATGTCAGTCATTATTTAGATTGGCAAAGGTACATAAGTCGTTCATGGGATTCTGTGTTAAATGTTATAACAAAATCCCAGGCGAAATACAAAAATTAAATGAAAGAAATTTTAAATTATGTGTAAAGAAAACTTTATGTAGAAAAGCATACTACACACTGAATGATTACATTGTAGATAAAGATGCTTGGAGACATGCTGGTCCTGCTCCACAGGATAGCAAACCTACACCAATGGATTTTGCTTGAACGGGACTTCTTCATTTTAGTGGAATTACATTATATTGTATAACTATAACTTGATAAATTTGTAAATGTGAGTGCCCTGTAACCTATTATAATTGGTTAGACTAGCAGAATGTCGGTCCTTATAACAGCTTGGAGTTGTCATGCACACTGAAAGGTCACACTGGCGGTGGCATGGGCGCTGGATCGCTTAATTCCTTATAATATGGTTGAGTTGGGCGATGCTGGTGTACGTGTCATGCTCGTGAACGAGCGCCGTCAGTTGGGACTGGTCAGCTCCAGACTGTCTATTGTCCTTAAGGTTACTTTATTTTTATATTTGAATAAATATTAGTGTTACACTGTTCTCACATAATTGAACCAACTATTTGTAAAAGGAATCTGTATGTGAAACTGATTTAAAAAGAGTAACCATGGAGTTTCTTGCTCGTTCTTCTCCATCGGAATCTACACTTTGGAACGAGCAAATAGCTTCACTAAGAGGACTGACCGACAGACTGACACTATTTTTTATTTTAAATTTTGTTTGACGTTCAAAAGTGCCTGTAAAGGTCTAATTGGAATAAATGATTTTTGACTTTTTTTTTGAATGGGTCGGCTCGACCGGTGTGATACCACGGCCTCACAGACAACCGGCGTAGAACAACCACAGCGTTGTGTTTTGCCGTGTCAGTGAGGTTATCTTCGCCTCCCCAACCCCTAAATCTCCCAAATCCCTAAGGTCGGCAACGCACTCGTAACTCCCCTGTTGTTACGGGTGTCCATGGGCGACGCTGTTTGCTTACCATCAGGTAATCCGTCTGCTCGTTTGCCGACCTATCACATAAAATAAAATAAATAAAAATACACCTTCACATATACATCACACCTAGAAACGGAACAACAATTCGTGGATCACATAAAGGGGTGTTCTGTGCGGGAATTGCCCAGCCACCACGCCAAATACTATCGTGCAGTCAGAATTAAAAAGGTAATGTATACGAATCGATGTTTGTTACTCTCTCACGTAAACACTACTGAACGGATCTGAATGTAATTTGGCACAGAGATAGATTAACTGTCTGGAGTAACACGTGGGGTATTTTCACTTAGGTTGAATGCTCTTATCTCGGAAAGTACTGCAGTGTGATTCTGTAAGACTTCATTCTAAATTTCGAATCTGAATCCGCCGTGAGTAGTAGTACACTAGCGCTACACTTGCGAGTTGAACCGAATTGACAACAACATTTTGATAGATAAAGTATGAGATGACGTTAAAAGTGACATTCTAAAATTTAATTTCCCCGTCACTTCGACGCTCACTTCGCACTCGAACACGATTCAAAATCAAACAAATTTTATAGAATCGACGTGCTGGTTCAAATTGAACAATTATTTTTTTGTTGTGTAGTCCAATTATCGATGAAGGCTAGAAGATGTGAAATATCAATAATCAGTAGATAACGAATAAAACCCGAGCAGTGAGCGAAACCGTGCAGGAGTAATTAGTTAAACAAAAATATAACACCGGGCTGGTTCGACCAGAATAATACGAAGGCCTCACAGAAAACACAAAAAAAAATCTTCTTTATTCATGAACCTCAATTTATAATTATCATCATCATTAGCAGGATTCCGTCCACTACTGGACATAGACCTCTCTAACAGCACGTCACTGAGTTCGATGTTCAGCTCTTCTCATCCAACCACTGCCAGCCATCCTGCGGATATCGTCAGCCGACCTAACTGGAAGGCGCTCTATACTTAACACGACACACAACTTATAATACTAAATACTTATAATATTAAATACTTTTTTTCTGAAACTTTGTAGTGCTGGAAGTTTAGAATAGAATAGTTTACCACTATTTATAGACAAGAAAAAGTGTCAGTCTGTCGGTCAGTCTTCTTAGTGAAGCTATTTGCTCGTTCCAAAGTGTAGATTCCGATGGAGAAGAACAAGCAAGAAACTACATGGTTAAGTACTCTTTTTCAATCAGTTTCACAAACAGGTTCTTTCCTTGTTAGATTATATCTTTCTTTATTAGATTATTAAGTTGGTTCCATTATGCGTCTACCCTTCTTGAAATCCTAAACCCATTTAGGTAAACTGTGATCTCCAACCCGCCTGTCTGCGGAGATTGTAGCAAACCCCTCTTATGTAGAGGAGGCACATACTTACAAAGGTCATTCGTTCACTCATAATATTGTTCCAAAGTAATATACAAGAAAAGGTTGGGTAAACATATGAATAAAACAAAAAAACTATGATATATATGCGTATTATTATTGATATTGTCATAAGAATACATAAAAACACTAAAATATACATTTGCAAAAGATACACACGCATTTGAAACTCATACGGTTATTTGTAACGCTATATAATTATAATCGTAATAAAATCCTTATAACATGCCACAATTGTCGTAAAAATTCGAAGAGATCTTTAGTTCAGTGATAACTTTAAAACAACCAGGACTTATTTCTCTATTAAATATGTAAAAAAATAACTTTATGCATTACTGGGCCTTTCCTTAGCTAGATGTTCAATGAAAATTTGACGTTTACCGTTAAAATACCAGCTGTTAAACTTATCGATCGACAACTTTCTCAAAAGATACAAAAGATTGAAAAACTGCAGCTGTTCTGATCGTTTACGAAAAATGTCCTGTCACATCTGACGTGTACTGCCAAAACAATGACGTAAAGTTGTCTGTCAGATTCGTACTCTATAAGCAGATGTCGCCACTAGTCGGGTCAACGTCATTCAAACATAAGTTATGCCCAGTAAATGCAGATGTTGAGTGGAAATAAGTTCTAGTACGGTTTAGAGTTTAGCATGGGCAGGGTGAGGGCTCACATGGGCAAGGCGGGGGTGGCTCACATGGGCAGGGACAGGGGCAGGGGCAGGCGCAGGGTGGCGGTGGGGGAGGCTCGCATGGGCATGGGCATGGGCACGGGCACGGACACGGGCACGGACAAGGCGATGAGCATGGACAAGACGATGTCAACCCTGACAAACTACCGGCTAACCCTTGTCCTTGACCTTGCACCAACGATGAGGTTGACACACAAATAGTGGGCGGCTGAATGTTCTGAGGCTTATGCGGCCTCACGACGATCTGAGGTGGATGAATCGGCGCGGGACGAGGTTGAGTCACACTGATCGGAGCTGGTTGAATCGGAGCTGGTTTAGGCACTCTCACAACTAGAGGAGGTGGTTGCACGCATGGAACAGGTCCGGGACGAGCGAGAACAGGTGGGGGGGTTATTTGTGGCAGAGGGGGAGGTCTGACGCAGATTGGTGGGGGTGTCACAGGCGGTACGGGTGGTGGTTGCACCGTCAGCGCTGGTGGTACAATTGGAGCCTGTTGTGGTGGTCGTACGAGGATCGGGGGTGGCTGGATGATCACGTCTGGGGAGGCGCTGATGAAGAAGGTGCCCCCTGGTACAGGGATCTCTTGGAACCCTGCTCCCCTAAGCCGCTCGGAGACGCAGTTCTTTTGCAACAGTACCTTGATTGGGCCTTCGCCGCATGGAGCTGGAAACAGAAGAAAATGTTTTAGTAAAATGTTTTCAAGCGTATTTAAAAACACTAGTGACATAGTAATTATGCACACCTCGACCTGAGCGAGACCAGGGCCTCACGGTTCACCAGCGTGACCTTACTTGGGAGACGCATAAGTGAGAGTACTAGTCGTTCAATGTTGTTAACGTAATGGTGTTGTTATTGTGGGTACTGATTGCTTACCATCAGGCAACTCGTCTGCTTGTCAGCCCCTCATCTGTAATATACTATGCAATGTTTTTTTTTCTATAAGGTACAAATGGGTCGGCTCGACTGGAATGATACCACGGCCTTGCAGGCCTTAAAAGCGGCGTGAAATAACCACAGCGTTTTGTTGACATGCGAGTGAAGTTAGGCCCAAATCTTATCCTCCTCAATTCCTAAATCCCCAAACCCCTAATCCCCAAAAGGCCGGCAACGCACTCGTGACTTCATTGGTGTTGGTCCATGAGCGGAGCTGATTGCTTACCATCAGGTGATCCGTCCGCTCGTTTGCTCGACTTATCCCATAAAAAAGGTAATACTTACACGGTGGTGGTGCGCAAGGGTCACATGGGCACGGTGGTGGTACGGGCGGAGGACAGGGTTGAGGGCACGGACAGGGGGGTGGCAGACACGGACAGTACTGGGGCGCTGGGGCCGCCGCAGCTGACGCTACCAATGCTGTAACAGAAAAGAAAGATGGCACTCATTAAAATGGGAAGACTTAAAAAGTTATAAGTGTGGAAGAGCCATGCTTCGGCACGAATGGGTCGGCTCGACCGGAGTGATACCACGGCCTCACAGAAAACCGGCGTGAAACAACCACAGCGTTGTGTTTCGCCGTGTGAGTGAGGTTACCAGATGCCCAATCTCTCCTCAATCCCTATAATATCTAATTATAAGTTTGAAATCGCCAACCCGCATTGAGCAAGCGTGGTGTAATGCTCAAACCTTCTTGTGAGAAGAGGTCTTTGCTCAGCAGTGGGCACTTATGGGCTGATGATGATGATGATGATGATGATGATGTATACTAAAAATTATTGTTTTCTCACCTATAATACCCAATGCCGTTAATCGCCCCATATTTGACCGCCTTGTGTACTAATTAGCGAATTTACAATCTTTTTATACTCGAGCCTTTGACAAAATATTTACATTTATAAACTAACCATCCTACAATGCTAGACTTCACGTTAAGAAAACCATACTCTAATTTAAACAAACTCAATGATTAGAGACTTTGAAAATTCTCTACCAATATTCTTCCTTGTCTTCGAATTTGGCGATTTGAATTCGAGAGGGTAGCTCGCCGCCCGACCAGAACCAGACCCGAGCGTACAGCGCGCAGCTTTCCGCGCGCCTCAAAGATCCAATAGACCACCACACACGGGGCCCTATAGGGCTGATGTTCAGCCGGGGTTGCGGGGTAAGCGCAATGAGGAACCACGACCTTGGCCCAGAGCATGAGAAGGAACGGGGGTTTTTAGTCAGTAAGAGTCCGACACTCATACACGTCACAAAAAAAAATTGACATTGGTACGATGACCCTGCAGAAAATCTTCTGGAATCAACTCTTGCATTGTCCTTCGCAGTCTGTGTGGTTACCGGAGGCCCAATCCTTCCCCCTTCTTCCAAAACTCTCAAAAGCGCAGTTATACACTTGTAACTTGGTGTTACCGAATTCGTAACTTTGTTTTTCCTTCGTCTAAGAGATCTTATCGAAAATAACGTTGAATTAACTGAGACAATCTCTTTTAGTTTCAATAGTTCTGAACTCGGCAACGTCTCGTAGCCGACCTGTAATACATAGAATTGCAATCCACAACGCCTGGTGGTCAATGATGCGTCGTTCAATGGAGCATGTCTATCCATAAGCAACCTATTCACTCGGGCCTTGTACACACCCGTTGTTTGGCTCGTGGCGTGATGTTGTATAGCCTATAGCACTCAGGAACATTGTAGCTATCTACCAGTGAAAGAATTTTGGTAATCCAGCAGTGTGATTCTTTAAGACTTCATTCTAAACTTCGAATCTGAATCCGCCGTGATTAGTAGTACACTAGCGCTACACTTGCGAGTTGAACTAAATTGACAGCATCATTTTGAAAGATAAAGTCTAAGTATGAGATGACGTTGAAAGTGGCATTCTAAAATTTAATTTCCTCGTCTCTTCGAAGCTCACTTCGCACTCGAACACGATTCAAAATCAATCAAATTTTATAGAATCGACGTGCAGCGGTTCCAAAGTTTACCCATACATACAAACTTATAAATTTTACCTCTTTATAATATTAGTATAGATTTAGCAATTATCAATACATTTTGTTTTTCTTATGATAGTTTCTACTATACAAACAAAAACAGTTCTTATCGCTCATATACTGTTTTCTCGCCAAACAAAAAAACTGAGAAAATTTTGTAAAATCCTACATTTGCCTTATCTAAACCAATTTTTCACAGTCAGTGGTGCTTCCTAAAATATTTAAAGTCGTAGAGTATATAAACGTTGATCATTTGAGTCAGTGATGTAAGGAATCGGAAATGATGGGTCTACAGGCTTTTGTGGTTCTTGGTAAGAGAAGTTTATTACTATTTTTTGTTGGAAGCGAGCAGACGTATTACCAGGGGCCCGAGTCTACTATTTTCAAAGTGTTGTCATTCCTACACGATTCCATTGTCATTTTGCTAAAAGTTCGTAATCTGTTAATTCAAAATGGCTGATCATTGGCGTTCATTTCGTAATAGAATTATAGTACGAGATGTCTTGTAACGAATTATAAACAATAACTGCACATTAATAGTCTAAACGTAAATCATTGAATAAAGGAACTGACATTTTTTTATTAATTTACTGCATTATGTGAAATATTCATTATGTACGAGATTACCGTTCTAAAGAATTATTTCAATGATGTGGCATTGGAAATTCATAATGACGCTATCGTGTTAGTAGATTGCCAAACTTATCAAAATCAACAATTTTGAAACCAATGTTTGAACCAATTCTGACACTATTGTAATAGCAGACTCGAAAAGCAATCGGCTTCAACCTCCTTTGGTATTACGACTGTCCATACACTCGTAATACCAAAAGGGTTATTACAAGTGCGTTGCCTTATGTAGCTTATTAAGGATTTAAGATCAGGGCATTTGGACGTCAAGTCCAACCTCCTTTCAAAACACACGATTAATATTTTCCGGTCATAATTTCTTTTTTGTTTTTTTTTTTTCTTAAAAACGTGATATATTATTGTCCAAAATGTCACAGTGTTGTGCTGTGTGTGTGGGCAAAAATACAAACTCACACTTTGGCACTCTTTTTGAGCTAAGTCTTTAGTTGGTCAATCATTTTTTGGCCGTAATCCATTCATATAAAATAAATAATACTTAAAGTCAAATCAAATCAAAGTATTTCTTGCATCTATAGTGTACAGTGATGGTCTTCAGTTTTAACAGATGTTCCAACTATAGACCCTGTCGGGCATCGTAAATCACTTACAGCTATAAAATTTCACTTAAAAATAAAATAAGAATTCGTTCGGTAAGAATATGTGCTATCTGACAGCTGTTTGGATCTGACGAACACCAAGCGCCGGTTGGTGGCAGAAAAAAATGTCAACAGTCCTGTCCTGTCCTGTCGTACAGTTCTCAAGAAGATCAGTGTGACGAAAGCATGCACTTACAATAAATTCTAATTGATAAACGTTTTAGTACATCAGTGGTTCTTTAGTGACTTTTTAAGGGAAAAATCATCCTTGACCATCATCCCTGACTGACTTAAAATCACCAGCTCCGATCCAGAGCTAAGCAAAACAGAACCTACCTATTTTTTTTTTAATAAATTCATCTTTTTTTTTTCTAAAACTCCAACAGCTCTGATCAGCGTGGCAGCGGCAGCACCATGGAGGTGTTACAGCACTTGTGACGGCAGCACCGTGTGCTTCGGAGAAGCTGGCCAGCCATGCATTAGCCCCCCCTCAATCTGCATAGGAAGGCCTTGTCCTCCATGCACTGGAGCAGCCACCGTTTATACGCCTTGCCAGTGTCCTTGCCCTTGTCCACCCCCGCCCTGTCCTTGTCCACCCCCTTGTCCATGCCCACCCCCGGTCTGTCCCTGTCCCTGTCCCTGCCCTTGTCCCTGTCCCTGCCCTGAACCTCCACCACCAGCATGCCCATGCTACTAAACAATGAGCAGAAGAAAATTTTTTGGAATAAACTCTTTAGAAATGTTTCGGGCCAGTTAGATTTGTTATTGGAATAATAAAAAAAGGAATTTGGAATTGGATATTTTTTCTCGAATCATTGTAATCCTGTTATTAAAATGTTTAGGTATACAAATAGAAAATTTTATGATTTGGTTTTGCTAAAAAAAAAACAATATATTGAATGTCTTTTGTTTTTTCGTTTTTTGTTTTCCTGATACCTACATGTAGATGAGACTGGAGTTATGTGAAAATATCATTCCGAGCTTATGAGCTGAAAAAAATCTTTTATTCGGCTTGTAATAGAATTTTCGAGAAACCAATTTAGTCACAAACTGAATTCTATACTAATACTAGCGGTCAGCCGCAGCTCCGGCCGCGTGGATGTCGATTTTACACTTTTTAATTTTTTTTTTTTTATGTTCAAACCTTCTTTGGGTTTCAAAACTAGCTAAATCGATGAAGTCATTATTGAGTTCTTTAACATTACAACGAAAGTGGCATTGATTTTTGTATTGTAAAGATTATACCTAATAGGCAAAATTTGTAAGTTCGTATGTAGGGGGTAAACTTTAGAACCGCTGGTCGGATTGCCAAAATTCTTTCACTGATAGAAAGCTACAATGTTCCTGATTGCTATAGGCTATAAAACATCACACTACGATCAATAGGAGCCGAGCAGCGGGTGAAAACGCGGCAGTAGCTAGTAAACAATATATATTTATTAAAACTTATACACAACGGACAAGTGTGTCAACGTTTGCATCACCCATATTAAAATTAAACGAAATAAGGCTTACAATTAATAATCTGACATATTGTGAATACAATCGTGTTAGAAATATGTAAAAACAATCAAACACTTTTCAGATGAAATCGGATTATTTAATCAGGAACGCCGTTTCGCCGCCATGTTTTTTCTCTTGTTGAAAATTATGTGACGGCTTACCTCGAAAACGGATAAAAACTTTCTGTGGTCTTTAAATGAAGAGTCCGAATACACCCAAGTTGAAGCTATCTTTTTTTTATGAGGGGAAAATCATCAAATTACTTCTGCCGCCCAGGCTCAGGCGGTCAGAGTGTCACTAAAAATCATCCTGTTCGTTCTCCTGCTCAAGGCCGTGGCCGCGGCCGCTTGCCCCGCAACCCTGGCTGAACATCAACCCGATGGAACACCGTAACTTATAAAAATATGTGCCACAATTTAATGAAAGATATAGTATTGTGTTTACAGATTACTATAGTAATAGAAAATAATTGGTTATCACTACATAGTATAAAACAAAGTCGCTTTCTGTGTCCCTATATCCCTATGTACGCTTAAATCTTTAAAACTACGCAACGGTTTACAATGCCATTTTCTTAATAGATATAGTGATTGAAGAGGAAGGTTTATATGTATAATAACATCCATTAATAGTGTAGAAAACTATTAGCCTTGCATCCTTGCGAAGCCAGAGCCGGTCGCAAAACAATTTACTCGTATCAAAGTAGCGAATTAAGCTCGATATGAATTTGCCAATTTTTTGCTAAGATACAAAAGTATTACCTTTACTTTGTCCTGTCTGTACATGGTCCACATCGTCAAAAACCTAAGACGGCACAAGGCCATTACAAGTAAGAAGTCAGAATGTTATGTTTGTGTGTTTTTATGTTTTGTTTATTATGTTAGTCAATAATTATTATTATATAAACTGTGTCATACCTAGCTATAAGTACATAGTATGAAAAAAATAGGGATATTTAAATTTTAAAGAAAAAAACCCAAGTAATTGCACCTAGGTACTAAATTCACTATTATGTATAAATATGTTATTGTATAAAGAGCGCCTCTCGCCATCAAACGTTAATGTTTGGCGAGTTTAGATGATAAGGACACTT